CAGTTTTGATTTCATGACTTTAAAGGTTCTTCACTACAAATTCTGAACTCAGAATCAAATGTTAGACTAACAACAGAACAACAACCTCTGATTATTTCATTAGGATTTTTCATTTATTTCCAGCAATTTCTATTTCAGTTAGGCTATGTAGTGCACTCATTTTGTTTGCGGTTTTGGTATGTTTTTTCCAACCTGCATAATAATCCTGTTCAGGGTCCATTGTTCCTACAATTTAACTGTTATTCCTGAACAATACAATCTTTATGCGAATACAGCACGCAGACCAGTTTGCTGTTTTCTTTCCCTGATCCATCCATTATATAATGCGCAAGGGAAAATAAGGAACAAGGGAATTGGAGATGTGAAAGAGAGAGGGAGGATTCTATTCAGTAGAACAAAACAAAGAAACAACAAAATAAATGTGTCATCCTTTTTTCCCCTCCTCCTTTAAAACCACTCTATCGGCACCAGTAGCCCATCTGTCTATTTCCTTCCCTCTATGGACTATGATATGACATAACTTCATTCTCTCAATAGATTGACAGTAATTTCATTTTCAATTTGTTGTGGTTCGAGGCAGTAATGATGACTGACGGGAGCTACTGCCACCCGGTGGTCAAATAGAAGACTGCAGCGCATTAACCTGTTGTTCAAGAATCTCGCCACAAGGAGGAGCACTAATACAACATATACCACGATTTCAATAGGTAAATAAAAATGTAATTCATGTTGACTGTTCTGTGCATTCCAAAGACATGTGAATATAGTGTCAAATTGGAATAGTAGCAAAATCATTTGCAGTTTTTTATGCTATGCATAATTCAATCGAAATGTGAATAATAATGCAAAATAATTATTGGATTTATAAAAAAAACGTACTTTTTCAGAATAACGCATAAAAACTTTTTCATAGACAATGCTATTTCCAAAAACACAGAGGCCTATATTATAACCAAACGATATGGCATTAATAGAAGTTTGCATTTAATTAAGATGGCACCCCCCCCCCCGCCCCCCCCCCCCGCCAAAAAAAAAAGAATAAAAAATAAATAGATTTAATAAATTATTTTATATGAACCATGGTGGAAGACCATGTTTCCATAATGTGCCTATTTTGCTACGCTGAAGAGTTTTCTGTGTTGTGCGTTCGCATTGAATATCTTACAAATGCAATTCAGTAAATTCATCTTCCTGTCATTCCAATTCTACATCCTGATATTTTATTCAAATTCCAACACAGCAATTAAAGGAGGTCAGTTCGTTAATTCTGATTCTTTACTGTCAAATGTTCGAAAGTCAGATAGCCTATAGACTATCAGAAATAGGCCAGACTTTTTAGATGCCCAAAATGTTCCCTTTAAAATTAAAATGACTCTTGTAGGGGCAAATGAAGTTTCCCATCAGAAGCTATAAGATAATGATTAATGGACTGTGTGTTCTGCAGACTGTGGCGAGGCAGATCTTGGCTGCCAGAGCAAACTAGCAACGCCAGAGCCCAGCTGGTGCTGAACAGCCTTTGAGTGGGCCATCAAATGTGGCTTGTTCTTATTTAATCCTTGTGTGAGTGAATCCCCACCCTGTCCTATACCACCAGCGCAACACATGAACCAAGCAGCCCCCAGACAGAGGGCAAGTCCTCCTTAAAACACCCTGCTAGGGCAACGGTCAGCCATTAGTCTCCCTCAAACAGCCTAATCGCACCAGTGGGCATCCTGGCATCAGGCACTTCTCTGGCCAGTGGTCCTGTTCAGACTAATGCCAGAACCAGGACTGATGACTATTACTTCTGAAATAGACAGGACTGAGAGTCTGCCCTCTACTGGTTGGATGTGGAATTTTGCTTTCTCAATCACATATACCAGGGCTATTCAATTAGCTTCATTCGAGGGCCGCATTATTAAATCGAAAAGTTGAGCTGGGCCGGTGGGTTTTGCTTATTTATTGACACATAACAGTATCAATAAATAAGCTAAAGTAAACAAAAAAAGGTTTTGCATTTACTAGGAAATGTGGTACCCAACAGTATGCAGACCATAAAAAATTACTTTTTTATAGCTATATACAAATAAATTGAATTATACAATATCATTGCTATTGGTAAGAATTATTTTATTAATAATTATTATAGGCTTAAATTAAAATATCCTGACAGTAAGACTTGTGGCTCACTACCACTGTATAAAAAAATGCCTAAAAAGTAAACAATTATACACACTAATGAATTATATATTCCTCTACCCCCTAATAAATCTAATGCAATTAAAATAAATGACTATAACATAGTATTCAATATAAATATTCCACATTTCTGCCCAAACCATGGTAAATTATTACATTCATGGTAAATGTTTGTAAGGGTTGTGATTATGGCATTTATAGTATTCTAACTTTGTTCATGTTTCTGCTATTTACCTCATCAGTAGTGTTGGGAATGTTAAGGCTGTTTCATCCGATTTAAAACTAGCTAAAAATCATTGAGTGATTTGTGGTTTGTAACAGAGAGGAGTGTCCGATTGAAACGCTTCTCAATGGATGTCGCAACGCTGTTTAATAATGGTATCCGGGACCGGGAGTAAACGCAACTCCTTTAAGCTTTGCGTTCCGTTATCCACTGGACCGTGCTGCCTAGTTCAAAGTAAACTTGTGAAACAACTGAAACCAGCGCTATTTTGTTGTTCTTACTGACCGAGAAACCGCTTCAGATGATTAAGTGACAGAACGGTCCGAACGAATCCGAATCGTTGACTGTTATGCACGCGCGTTTGGCCAATTCATGAAAAGGAAATTAATTCAGTCGACAAAAATACGGTTCAGTCGACAGATATACGGGACACACATAATAACTGCTGAAATATTCGGACTGAAAACGTTTCTCTCAGGTCAGTTGGAGTGCTCATGGCACACACACAGTGCGTGTAGTCATCCAGCTGCATGTGCCACGTGTAACGGTTTGTATATAGATAGAGGACCGTCACACACGCGCATATCAAACCAAATTTAGCCGCACCACCAGGAATAGGAGGGGGATGTTGGGGTGCTCTCGGGCCGCATGGAGATGATTGGCGGGCCGCACTTGGCCCGCGGGCCGCCAATTGAATAGCCCTGATATACTGTATAATTGGCCATATTTTAAGCCTACAGTTAAACCAAAAATTAATCAGACACCAGATATAATTGTAATGTAATGCAAGGATAGCAAAATAAAAAAACTGTGACATATTATACACACAAATTATTCATACCAGTAAAATGTATAAAAATTTGGAACCAAAAATTATTCGGACACTTTGACCTGACCACGTTTTGTTTAAGTGTTTTTTTTTTTCTTGTTTTTTTTTGCTAATGCAACTTTTTTACACCACAGACTGAACAAAATTAAGCATTGCTTGGTAACTGGTTGACCTAAGTTGGTATTATCTCATTGTGTAGGCCTACTTAAATTTAACAGCTGGCAGCTATTCAACCTAATTCATTTGTGAGACAGTCTAACAGAATGATGGCCAAAACCAGTGAAATATCAACTGATTTGATAACTCTGAGTTCTTGTCATATTTTATTACCATTTTCTAAACTATAGCGAATAAACTGTGAAAATATGAGAAATGTTGAGGGATGAATAAATTCTGGTTTGAATGCATGTATGTATGTATATATATATATGTATATATATATATATATATATATATATATATATATATACACATACATTCAAACCAGAATTTATTCATCCCTCAACATTTCTCATATTTTCACAGTATCACATATTTTACCAGTCAGTTTTGTCCAAACTGACTGGTAAATATATATATATATATATATATATATATATATATATATATATATATTTACCAGTCAGTTTGGACAAAACTGTTTAATTGTAAAGTATGCAAATATACAAATATGTATTGTTTTCGCCGCTAGGTGTCGCTAACTTCTTACAATAACAAAAGCATTGGTTGATGATGCAAAATTCCAGTTGAATTATGGAACTTGTTGTAAAGCTTATTAATCTAATAATGCTTATGGATGAGTGAATACATTGATGTTTTTGTCATGACTGTCACTGTGGTACGAACCAGGTCGCGATTGCTATGACAGACAGATATCGGTGTCTCACGCGAGTGCCCCCGGATACAAAGGAATAAGGACATGTCATTCTACCAAACTACACGCAAGTGCTGAATTACTCGCACATGTCAGTTTATTAGACAAATGAAGGCTTGTGAGGAAACTTGGTCTACACTGTAACACTAATCTGCATTTGAGTGTGTTAAAAGTTTTAATGTTAGTTTTATGTGTTTAACACATAAAATATTAGGATAACATACATCATATTCTAACATTTCATCATAACATTTACACGACAAGAGTGTTTTGGGTTTTTTGCAAACGATACTGTCATTATCCCCTACAAAAATGTGAATTTGTGAAAACGATGACAACATGCGCATTAATATTATGTTCATTTAATAGGTGCTTAGTGTTTCTTTACAAAGTCACTTTGCCAGTTCTATACTGGACTGACATGAACAATACAGCGTTTTTAGACGTTTTCACAGATCCGTGGGAACAGGGATCGTTTTGACAATGGTGTTGTCTGTACTTGAAAAATGCAAAGGAACAACTTTGTTTTTAGCAGTAGCCTACATTGTGCTAACGAACCCTAAGTCTTGAACTAAAATAAGCACGCAACGCCTGCAGTTTTTTCCCAATTTCTCACAGGCAGGACAGCTGTCAGCCAATAAATGAGAAAACAAAGTAACTTATTTGAAAAATTAACTCAGATATTTTGTTTTAAACTTAAAAGTGTTGCTTTAGTTACTTGAAAAAAGTAATCTGATTACTTATGCATTACCCCCAACACTGATAGTAGTATAGATGTGTCTGGACATTTGACTGATATGTATGTTTAGCTATTGTTCTATGATGTGACCTGTTTACCAGGCAGAGGGAGGAGGAGCTTGATGTGGGTGTCTGTGGGAGGAGACATGCACCTGTGAATCTACACCTGTTTGCCAGAGAGAGCGAAAGGGACAGCCAAGCTGGAGAGGAGGCAGAAGAGAAGAGACAGAAACTATAATTAAAAGCTGGATCCTAAAGGGCGATGACCTCACCTGCTGGACTCGACCGAACCAAAGGATAGTGACCCCTCTAAAGCAGATAACAAGTATCTCAACGGACGTACATTGAGCTGTGCAGGTGAGAGAGGTTTATTAGCCAGAATTCAATGAGGGGAAAAACTCTTTAATCTCCATGGAAAATCATCCATTTGCAATTAGGTTCATATAGATAAGTTACTGTGTTACTTGTTTGCTAAAGGTAAAATCAAATGGAAATTAATTCTGAGTTCTAGAAAAAAAGCTGATCAATTGAGAATTGATATTAAGTTCTAGAGAAAAAAGCGAATGACAGCTGTGAATTTTAATAACCTTTGGACAGACACATGATTACACATTCATAGCAAACAGTGAACCTTTATCACTGACTAACCGTGCATAATGAGGAGCCTGAGATGAGTGTGTGTTTGTGTGTTGGGGGTATTATTGCAATCAAGTGAACTTTGAAATGCAAAATATTTCTTTCAGTTGTGTCAATTGCACAAGTTTAGCGGCCACAATGATCGTCTGAATGAATTTTGAAAACTTAAGCCTCACAAAAACATTGCATTGGGAAGGAATCCAGCCAAGAAAGTTCTGACCTCCTGAACGAATTGAATTGAAACTAAAACAATCCGCAAACATTGATTTTTACCAGGAATCAAAGTGAGGCTGTGAGTAATAAGCATCTCTTCAAAAAAAAAAAAAAACCCCAAAAAAACAATATAAGCTGTGTAAAGTGATCTAGGAGCTTTATAGCCTAGAGATTTGTACAGCGGATGCCATTGAAAACACGGTAAGTCTATCCCTCACAGCCTCGCTTTTAAAACCTGTCATGAGTCTCTCTATAATTAGTGGTATTCATAGAAGAAGGGTTTAATTCAAGTAGACAAGCGGGGATACAAATGACTTTATGAAGTCACAAGCAAATGCTATGGAGTTTAGTGCCTCTGCTGCATGCTTTATATGTGCTTGGGTATTTGCATTCGCACACAAAAACTCCCCTCTCCCCATTGGAAGGAAAATTAAAAACTTTCAGTTTTGTTTGAGATATTTTTCTCCTCAGAAAAAGCCCCAATGATCTCACACGTCTCCTCTACACTTTCAGAAGAGATCTCATGTTCAACTATGTCTCAATATACTCAGAGTTGCTATGTCCAAAGCATTCAAAAGTCAGAGATCTCAATATGAGCTCTTATAAGGTCAAAATTGTCTAATTTGAGTGGGTTTTTATTTGGGACCAATTTCCTTTTCCTCCTTTTTAGCTACTCTCTTTAGAAAAATCCAAAAGGGTTTTTCCCAGACATTGCCATATGAACCATTTGGGTTCCCCAGAGAACCTTTCAGTGAATAGTTCTAAAGAAAACCATTTTTTCCTTAGTGTAGAAACATAAAAAACATTTTTTTTTTTACATTATATTGAACAATGGATATTTTCCATGGATGTTAACCATTGATGCCAGTAAAGCATCTTTACTTTTCTCACACACCCTTTAAAAATGGGGACTTATTTCTAAAAGGTGTGAGAGTAAATTGAGTCAAATGACAAAATATACAAATATATTTTGTATATAAAATAAAAATATACCTTTTGCACATTTTGGGCCTGTAAGATTGGTCAAGCACAAGAATATTTCCTGCAGTTCTTCTACACCTCAGTCCCTGTCATTTGCACTATAGTTTTTATTCACTTTAACTCCCAGAGTGTGACTGTTCCCAGAGCGAAGCTCTCCAAAGACTTCCAGTTAACACCTGATGTTTTTTCCAACCACCGACAGGAATAATTAATTAATCAAGATGACTACAGAGACAGCTATTTCTCATGGGAGCTTCTATTGAAACTAAATGTACTTTGTGTCGTTATTATTGCTGGCTGATTTAAAAAAAATACTTTAGAAATTAACAAGCTGCCGTAGTTTGTGTAACAGGACAAATCAGAAGTTAGATTTTGCCACACCAAAGCCATTGGTTTTCTACATTATCTTGATATGTAAATCTTATCAAATCTTATCAGAAATGTTCCCGGAAAGCCCTCTGAATAATGATTTCCTTGAACCTTATCATTACTTTCATTTTCATATGAAAACCAAATGCTAACAACATGGAGTGTGCATGTGCTTTGCGTAGAAATTCTCTTTGCGTGCAAATACAAACTTTCATTATCCAAATCTTGACTAAACCATATAACTTCCAATGGTAAAACTGATTAGTGCATTGGGGTGCATTGGTACAGTACATTTCGAAATCCATGTTTATATTATAAATTGTGCTTTAAACTTATTCAACATAATTGCAAGTGATAAATGTGCAGTATAATTCAAGGCATTGTGTAGTTTATTAAGAGGTGGCATCACTCTTTGAACAACCAAAAAAAATAAAATTGTAGCTTTTCAAATATAATGCAATATGGCTTATTGTTAAAACCATCTGGATTAAGTGGCCCTCTTTTAACGTTTTATAAGGTTAAAAGCGTCAGAAAAACAAGGCTGTAAGGTTGAAAGGGAGCTGGCCGGCACCACCTGATCTCTGTTTGCTCTCGTAAACATAAAAGCAGGAGCAAGAGTCAAAGCCCTGAGAGAGCGAACAGAAATTAGCATACTGTATGAAAATGACCACTTTGTTGCTAAGCAACAGAGCCAAGCCTTGCCCGAGAATGGGTATTGTCATATGCTACAGCAGTTTTGTGTGAATTTGAGTGTGGTTGAGTTCATTTTTACATTTCACAGAAGGCTGATTCAGTTCGAGATATGACCACGGACAGTAAAGCAATAAACTTTTCCAGGATATGCAGCTAAAAGTGTTTGTTTATCGTTGTCTTTGTGTGAATAAGCGTGTGGTAAACCTCACAATATCATACGAAGTTTCATTTGGACAGTGTTTCACCGTGTATGTCAAAGGCGTGCTTGCTTTTATTGTATTGGTTTACTTCAAAGAAGCCATTCTGGCATGCATGTGCATGAACCATAAACTGTCTCTGGACGTGAGCTCTTAACACGACAATAGACTGTGTAAAATCACGTAAATTAATGAATTAATCACATCAAATCTACAACACACTGAAAATTTTGGCTTAAATGAAACCAGCTGCATCAGTCAGACCTAAGACGTGAAGTCTCATGAGGTCAGATGATAATGAGTGTGCTCACGTATGGCCTGAATGGAGACAGTTACACATTTCTAAACAATTAGCATCCCCTTGTTTATTAAATATTATTAGGTCCATTTAACAAAAAAATGTTTAGTCGAGTTAAGATAACAGTGTTAATGATTTCAAAGTTCACCACAATCAACCTTTACAGTTTTATTGAAGTACAAATGTACCATTCAAAAGTTTGGGGTCAGAAAGATTTCTCTCTCTCTCTCTCTCTCTCTTTTTTTAAAGAAATATATCTTTATTCATGCAGCAAGGACCCAATAAATTGAACAGATGTGACAGTAAAAACAATTATGATGTCACAAAAGAGTTTTGCTTCAAATAAATGCTCTTCTTAATAGTCATCAAAACTTCAGCACCAAATCAGCATCTTACAATAATTTCTGAAGGATCATGAGACACTAATAGAGAAATCAGTTATTTTAAATTGTCATATATTTCACAATATTACAATTTTTACTGTATTTTTGAGTAAACATTAAAAAAAAACTGTATAGGCCACAAACGTACAATGTAGCAAATTCGTATTTACGATTTGAACACACATGGACGCCACCACAATGTCATATGAGTTTACCAGTTTTGGGGCGTCTCAGTGAGAAACATGGCGCAATACCACAATACTTATAGATATTTAGCAGTGACATTGCAAAATAAGCTGACTGCCAGCACAAAATTTGGTAAAATAACAATATAATATGTAACAATAAAGTTCACAGTGGCTTCATAAATTAAATATAAAAAAGCAAAACACACCTGATGGACATTCTTTGATCTTCACTTTAGAAGAAGAGTTTAAAAACCTTGCTGTATTTTTGTGTAGTAAATTAAGAGAAGAAATTTCACTCAATCTTCACTTTATCTATATGCTAGGAGGATAGAAATGCTATGGACCATGCTAATGCTAAATGACAGATGCTTATGGTGTCCTCTATGGTGTCATTCAAGTCCACACTTTCGTCGGAGAAAGATGTCGGTGTGCCTTCTCTTAATTAGCCCAACTACACTAACCCTAACCCTAACCTGAAATCGTAAACACGACTGGAACCATAAGCATGTGCTCTGTCATTTAGCATTAGCATGGTCTATAGCATTTCCATCCTCCTAGCATATAGCTAAAGTGCAGAGTGAGTGAAATTTGAGGCCTGTAACCAGAACTCCTCAGGTTAAAACCCTATCATACCTCTGCCATATGGTGCTTATTGAATTACACTAAAAAATTCATTTGCGGCTGCCCCTTCTAATGCAAGACACAGATCTTACATTAGTATTAGCTCACACCCTCAGGCCTCAGCTTACACATTACTATTCGTACAGTTTTGTGTTTAAACAAACTGGTTATAGTTCATTTGCTTGTTTAGGCACACTCTTTGGTCTTAATCATAAAAATAACACTTTAATGCATTTAAATCTCTCTTTCTGTCCTCCTTGCAGTTTTCATCTTGATGGCGACCGCAGAACCTGCACCGGCATGGTGGAAACTGACCTTCTTGCGTAAGAAGAAATCAGAGCCGAAAGTGCTGTACGAAATCCCTGGAGACCACAGCAGCAACGCCGGGGAGACACCCGCCGGGACACCCGACGCAGCTGCGGACAGCCAGTTTAACGCCCGCTTGGAGCGCATTGTGGACAAAACGGCGACCAAAGGACGCCATGTGAAGGTCTCACATTCGGGCCGCTTTAAAGAGAAGAAGAGAATCCGCTCTACGCTAGCAGAAAACCCTGACCTGTTCCCTGAGGGTGAAACTAGCGAGAATAATACAACTGGAAAATAGTCACTGTGTAAACACACTAGCATGTGTGTGTGTATAAAACAGCTCAGGAGGGCCTTGGTCTATGCAGCACTCTTCCATTGATGTCCTCTGCTGTTCACAATCACCTGAGGCTGAGCCTGAAGCAAGAAAAGGATCTCTGAATGAATAGTTACTGATCTATACTAATGTTTGAGAACAAAGACAGGCATAAACCCAAAGATCAGGTTTCTTCACAGATACACAAGGCATGGACTCCATTGTGGTTGTCTGATGAAAGGCTGACACTTTGCAAATGTTTAGAAAAGAGAAGCAGCCTGCACTGAGATGGAATCAAATAATTCATATATCAGCACAAGATATCAGTAATGATAGTGGTTTTGTTCGCTTATTATATTTTATATGCTGAAAACTACAATCTACAGCATTTGATTTAAATGAATATTATCAGAAACAATACGCTACTGTTTTAAAGGATTATATGACTTTTATTTAACCTACAAATTTAAATTGTAGCTAATTATATAAAATAGAGTGTTATTATTAATTTCAAAAAGATTTCAACATATTATGGCCTCTGAACCACCAAATAGACCAAAATATATATATTTTTGAGTACATGTGCCCATTGCAATAATACGCTATTTTATGTCTGTGTTGATGTGTCAGGGTTATTTATGATATTTGATTTTTTTAATTTAATTTGAATAAGGTGGGGTTTGAGATTTTAGCTTAAATGCTGTGTTTTTATGTCAAAAGATTTATATAAAAGATTTATATATTTGCACAATGCCTAGTTTGCTTAGCTGGGATTTTGTAAAATAAATAAATAATAATAATAATAATAATTAAGTGTTGTTTAATTAACCTCTGTAAATAATAAATAATGCACTCAATATGTGAGTATTTCATTGTGTACATTTCTGTTTCAACACTCTAGAATAATGTGTTTGAAATAGAACCAATAAACAAATTACAACTTGCCCTTGCCCAAATTACAACACCCTATTTCGACTCTTTATTTAGTTTTGCCATCAGCAAGAGCAACGGCCTTTTCTTCCCATTGTCTTTTTTTTCCATGACAAAAATTGCCGTAAAAACAGCCGAGGTAAGACTCGCCCCGTTGTTTAGTTTTCCTCCAGCAGAGGGCGACAGATCATCAACATTTATGATGAGACTGTAATCTTCCCTGAAATGTTTGTTTTGGTCGACTTCGTGTCACTGTCAATGACACATTTGTTTCTCAATCTATCGGCAGACAGACAAATGTAATGTTGATATCATCAGTCGGACTTTGATTATTCTTTACAATGATGTGCCTTAGCCCAGTACCATACGTTTCACATTTTGATATTAACAAATATTGGAGATCTTAAAATATTTAGGTGTAAATACTATAAATAAAATAACTAGGTGATCTAAAAATATTTTTGAATTAATTATTTTTCCTACGCATGTGATACAAATAGACTAAAGATCTATATGTTGTCTACGCCCAGTAACACAAAACAAAACTCTCTGGCGGAAGGATATTTCTGAGCGGCACTGCGGCACTATATAAACATCAACTCGACGTCATCACCTGCAGTTCTTCTATTCTTCTCCCAGTTTATTATCATTGATATCCGAGCGATTCTGCTCTCCGTCGAAATGGCCGTGTGACCTGCTGCCTGTAGACAGCGCGCAAACTCCTCAGTGCATCAACATTGTGCACTGGCTCCATACATTTATATAAAAATGGCGTAAGTATACTTTTAATTGTTTTGTCTTAGTATGTCACGATCGTGTCACCCCCCGTTTGGGCTGGTGTGTAACTTTAAATAGATATAGTCTTATGACCATTGTGGTTTTTAGGTTATTTCGTAACTGTTATTCGACTTAAATATATATTGTGGCTTTGATGTATTCATTTTAATAGATTATGGAAATTGTTTGCGAATATTGTCATGACCTGCGTCTCGCGCTCAAACTAGCACCATATGTCTAACGTTACTCGACAGTGACAACATCGGTCGATGATTTTGTAGTCATTTCTGTTTTAAAACGTACTATAATGTTTTTATTCTGTATAGTGAATTTATCTCCAACACTCCTGAATGTGTTTAATTCAAAATACACATGAGCGAGAGAGTTTAATTCACGTTTCTTTGTCACCGCGTGTTCTTTATAAAATGGCGTACGTTCCTGTAAAGGGAGCGGCAGGTCCCTGAAATGGCGGAGTCTTATTCCACCTTGATAAAACAATATAACATCGACGCACCTTTTACCTCAGACATTTTCCGTTAATAGTAAGATGTTATAAAAAGCTATGAGATTTGGCCTTTGTTAAATTAGTGTAGAGATTTTAAAAATGGAATCCAGTCTACTGACAGTAAGGGATAAAGAACGTCACGTGGTAATGTCCATATATGGGTAGGTTGTGGGCAGATGATGTCATTGCTAGTCAGGAATAATGGAGGCTTTATTTTTTTTCTTGCAAAGTGCCTTTTGTATTTATTTACATTTATAAAATTGTTATACAAGCGAATAACTACTTTTAATAATTGTTTGCAGGTCCTTCGTGGCAACTCTGACTTCTGCTGCTCCTGACAGCACAAGACTATTCGAATTCTCAGTAGAAGACTCGTTGATTCAACTTGAAATAGATAGCCATGTCTTTGATGAGCTCACGGTTTGGCCAGGACGATATGGAGGTCCTTTTTTGGGACCCATCATCACCGATGGCTGACCCTTTGGGGTCTTTCCTAGATAAAGATGAGGAGGTTCTTCCTCTCGGAGGCGCTGAATCGCCCCTCTCATCTTTCTCTTCCTCTCCACTTCCCTCTCTCTCCCCACCCTGCACTCCTCCCTCCATTCAGAGGGGGGAGAAGGCTGGGCTCAATCAGCTGTCTCTGGCCTGGTTACCCTCAGATGAGCTGTGCCTAGATAATCATTGCAATGGTGAGGTGTAGCGAATTATTTCAAATATTCCTACAAGTGCCCTAGCATACTAATATATTAAACATTCAATCATAATGTTTAACATGCTTTTTTCCCCCATTTCAGATCATTCATTCAGTGAAATGGATTGGATGACAGAGCGAATTGATTTGAGTGAGTTTGATCTGGAGTCTTTGATTGGCTCCTATGATTCTGAGGATCCACCCAGTTCTCCTGAGGAGCTCATCACTTCTCTTGAGTCACAGATAGACCAGGAGTCCCAGCCTGTAGCTTCTGACAGTGTACCTTCACCCTCTCCAGCAGCATCTCTTCCTGAAATCGATCAACTTTCCAACTTTTCCTTCACTTTGAATACTCCAGTTGCTACTCCTTTCATTCCATCACCCTGTGAAATTTCAGATTCCTCCTCTGTGGTCCCTGAGCCCCAGGCTGAGTTTGAGATAAAGTCTGAACCGGCCTCCCCGGTCCCATCACCTTCCATCCTTCCACCCGAATCCCCTACTGATACTCTTGAGCTTGGTTGCGAGGTAGACATAGCTGAAGTTCAGAGTCCCCCCTCCGTCCAGATGCAGGTGCCCAAAATAGTCCTATCGCTCACCCCAACCCGCATTGTTCTTGTACTTTCTCCCAAAGAGGAGGTTAATGCGATGATTACCCTTCCAGGTGAGATGGTTGTGGAAAAGTCCCAGAGTCCAACTTCCCCCGACTCACAAACCCAAACTTCTCCCCAGTCTCGCTCTTCTAGGGTGAAGCCCTACTCCACGCCTGATTCTAAGCCCACCCAAAATCAGCAGTCAGAGTTCCCCACCCTTTCAGGAAGAGTGAAGTCAGCCAGTGGCGCAAAGGTTGTGGTTGAAAAGAAAAAGCTGAAGAAAATGGAGCAGAATAAGACCGCGGCAACCCGCTATCGACAGAAAAAGCGTGCAGAGCAAGATTCTCTCCAGTCAGAGTGTGCAGTCCTAGAGGAGAGGAATCAAGAGCTGACAGAAAAGGCAGAGTCCATTGCTAAAGAGATCCAGTATTTGAAAGAGCTAATGGAAGAAGTCAAGAGGGCAAGAGAGAGCAGAAGTGTGAGGTCATAGAAAGAAATGGACACAGAGGCTTGAAGCTGATAGAAATTGACGGTTTCAGCATAGCCTGAAGTGCAGAACATTAGGGATGTTGGTCATAAAAAGTATTTTATGAAGGGTTGAATAAATTCCTTTTTTTTACTTTGCCATCGTTTGAGTAGAAACGTTTCCTGTAAACATGTCAGCAAAGCCTGGCATTCTTTTACCAGTGCATTTTTTTTTTTTTTTTTTTTTTTTTTAGTCTTGTGTATCTATTGCATGCACAGTAATATGTGCATTCTCTGTTGTTGATCTTTGTTTTGAATTTTCCCAATTGAAATTATTCTGTACAAATGCTTACTATTTCTACTTTCTTTTTTCATAGAGATGGTATGTGTGCTTATATTAATTTGTGTAGAGCTCAACATTTTGTGGTTGTATGGTCCTTTAACTACATATCAATTAGCTTGAATGTTATTTATGTAATAAACATTTTAAAACGTTGCTTGTGTGTTTAATCTTTTTATTATGAAATGGACAAAGAAATGAGTTGGAGTATTTTATAAAATTATTTATTTGTTTTTGGTCAATGTATAAAAATATATTTAGCCTGTTTAGTCAAAAACAATTTCCACAAACAGCATAACCTCACTGTTAATGACCAAGGAGAACTGTATGGGTGGTAGAAAAATAAATGTGGTTCTTGCCTTTATGTTCGCTAGGATTTCACGGATCAAGGAAATTCAACCTGGAAGCTGAATTTGTTATGTTCTCATTTTGCGCTGAATATTTTTGAGGACAAGGTAATTATTACTATGCAATAGTAACAGACATCCATTCCCTGAATGCTTAAAACACATGGGTAAATATTTTTTAGGTTAAGGTAATGCTGCCATCAAAGTCCTAAGTTGCTAAATATCAAATTTAAAAAAAAAACCCACAAGGTGCTCGATGGGACAGATGTACAGTATGTAGAACAATTGTATATTCAAAAATCCAGGTATACTTAATCCCTTTATGAAAATATAGTGAGTGCATTCAAACTAAATGTTAACAATATTCCAATTTTGTGAAATGCAGTTTTACCAAATATATGACTTTGAATGCATGAAAAATGATGAGGTTGTGTAAATATTGTACAGTATTGCTACAATACAATGAGTCCTGCTTTACACTGTGGAAATGAATAGTCATGTTGTTTGTTTCCATCATGCATTTTACATATACTTGAAAAAATGTTCTTAATTTAAAACTATGAAAATATGACTAAATCTTAACATTGCTCAAGAAGCCAGAAATGTAGGTTGCAAGTCTAATTCTATCAACATGACATACAAACAGTGTGAATGGCCTTATAGTTGCATAAATACCGCTTGTTTTGGGATCAAAAAGGTCAATAACCTCTACATTCTTCTGAGATTTACCAGAGTTGCACTTTATGTTGTCATATATTTCACTGTAGAATGCATCTTCCACTTGTTTCCTCCTCGTCCAGTTCTTGATTTACTGTAGAACAAGGATGCGATGATCAGGTTTTACATATATATGAGAAATATTAATATGAACAAATTATATCATAACCTTATGTCAAAACCAGCAATAATAATAATATAATAAAATGCAAACTACTTACATTTGACAGGTAAGAATGGTTTCTCTCCATTATCTGCTACCATTTCCTCTATTTTCTGCAAGAGTTCAGTCACCTGTGTCCTGTCATTGTTGGCTTTGGTACAATCCAGCACATGATAACAGTTCCAGCAATGCTGCATCAGTTTCAGCAGCTCCCCATCCCGCTGGATGTGATCCTCGATGGATGTGCCATACAGCCAATCGCCACATGAAAACAGCACCAGTGTGTGAAGACACGCCTCCTCACCAAAGATTTCCAAATGGCTCTTGAGGGCCTGCCTCTTTTTGGAAGTGAGGGTCGAGACTACAGGGATTACCAGTAAGAGTGCATGTGGGCCAGGATGGAGAAGCCCTGCCCCTTGTTTAATTTCTTTTCGAATGTTGCTTGGTGTGCGCTGGGCGGAGAACCAATCCCAACCTGGTGTGTCAACAATTGTGAGGCGCCGACCAGCAACCAATGCTTGATGACGGACAGACACCTCAGTGGGGCGTCCTGATTCAAACACACGACTACCCAGTAGAAGATTACCTGCAGAGCTCTTACCTGCTCCACGCCAGCCTACTAGCAGAACCCGTAACTCTGTTAAAAAGAAAGTGTGAGATTGCAACCAAAAGGAAATTCACATGATGAAAATGCACTTTGTATGTTCTAAGGAGACATTCTGCAAAGGTACCAACAAAACAAAGGTACAGGAGAATGAATCAGATGCGAAACTCACCTCTTGGCGGAGATCTAAACATTGCTGCTGTCCTCTCCACTTCTGGGACTCCATTCTCTTCTCTTTCTTCATCGAATCCAAGGCTTGGCCTCACCATTTCAAAGAACCAGCCTTGATTCTCCCGAACCATTTCCTCAACTTTTTGTAAAAGCTCTGCAACTTGAGCACTTTTGTCTGAGCAGGTGTTATCCAAGGCATGATACCTGGAGCCACACCTCTCCACCAACCTCTGCAGCGCTGCCCCGCCATCCACAATAAATTCCTCAACACCCGTGTCCAGCAACCGGTCTGCACAGGTGAACAAAACCATGGTGTGCCTCCATATTCCTGCGCCCAGTTCTCTAACTCGGGACCAAAGGCCTTGCCAGTGGTTTTCGGTGAATGGAACTCCGATGGGAACCACCAGCAGCAGGGCATGGGGACCAGGAGAACATTGATCAATGAAGGACTGCTGGTTCTCTGAGTCCGTCTCATTAGTTGTGTCTTTGGTTTCCAGATTCCATCCTGGCGTGTCAATGATCAACAGTCGCCAAGTGAGTATGTCTACCCAATGTTGTTGGTCTGTTTGGGAATTGTCAGATGGGTTTTTCTCCTGGCTCAAGATGGTATTCAGTGTTGAGGTCTTTCCGGAGCCCTGGAACCCCAGCAACAGTAGGCGCCACATGGTTGGAGAGGATCCCTCTGCTTTTGAGAGACAGATGAAAGTGAAGAGATGAAAAATGATATTGCAATCAAAATAACAGGTATTTTAGTCCATGCAGACTACATCCACAACTCCCATTTGTTTACACTGACATACCCTTGGGAGAGCACCCCCACATAATAAATCCCTATTTAACCCCTGATATATTTTCTGCAAGAGTTCAGTCACATGTGTTTTGGTACAGTCCAGCACATGATACCAGGTCCAGCAATCCTGCATCAGTTTCAACAGCTCTCCTCCATCCCTCTAAGTAACCCAAACCGTTAGATCTCATTCTAATGCTGAACCAAGATCAGATTCAGTGACATTTGTGGGCATCTGCTTTTATATGATGACAAACTGATGGGGATTAGAAATCCCCAGAGAGAAAAGAAGCGCACGTCATGCAGAGGGGAAGTGAGTCAGCTTCCTGTGTAGGTGGTATTTGAAAAGTGGAAAATTGTCTAATAGACAAATGAAGTTAGTTTATTGTCACTTACCAGCATTTAAATCCGAAGAGACCGTAGCCATCTTGTGTCTAGGTGGTACGTTGTCTCCTGTCTCTCTCTCTCTCTCTCTCTCTCTCTCTCTCTCTCTCTCTCTCTCTCTCTCTCTCTCTCTCTCTCTCTTTCTCTCTTGCTGTTTTGTCTCAGCAGCCAGTTGCCTGTGCTCAAAACATTGTTTTCCCCTCCTATCTTCCTCCTACTCAATTTCCCTAGCTCTCTCTGTGATTTTCTGATTACACAACACCCTTGCAACCTTTCTCTCTGCCTCTTTTTTACTTTCTTTCCCCCATGAAATGTTACAAGTAGGAGGAGCTGGGAGAAAGAGACTAATAGAGAGCAGAGGGATGTAAGGAGGGAGAGAGAAAAATGTCTGGATTGTGATTCATTTTAGTAGAATTAGTGGGCTGAGTTTGACTTTTATAATACGGTAAGTAACCTCCCAAAAGTCTTAATAAATAATAAGTGTGGAGTGGTTTGCTATTCTTTTATTGTGTAGTGCTGGGTTTGGGGGTGGAGCACAGGCTGTCATTAGACCAATGAAAAGATCGAAGTGACCAGTTTAGCACCACCCACCTGATTCTGCAGTATGACCTAAACCCAGCAGCATTGACATACTAGAGCGAGTAAAGCAAACACTGGACAGTTTTTGTTCCTTATAAAGTGTCATACATCAAAAACTACTGTAGGCCTACACAGTGTGAGTATGAAAATTAATATTTATATGATCAAATAAATTGTAAAAATCAAAGCAAATAAATAAACAAACTAATGTATTAACGGCACCTCCACATGCTCCTCATACTTCATAATAAGAGTCCTTCCTTTGGGTTCCTGCTCATGTAGGGGTGGGAGGAAATGAAGTTATAGATATGCTAGCAGAAATCTCTATAAAGCATGAAACAGATGTGCATATACCAATAAGTAGAGCAGAGGTTAAAACCATTATAAAACAACACTCACAATATTCCACAAATATGGCAGGAATATTGGAACACAGTGGATACAGGACGTCATCTATTGCCTACAGTAAGCTATTCAAAATCAAGTAGTCACAAGCATGAGGAAGGGCAGAAGCCCAAGGGAGTTTCATGTCTTAGAATGGGTCACACTGGTTTAAATGCAACAATGTATACAATAGGAAAACACCCCACTGGATTATGCACTTATTGTGATGTACAAGAGACAGTGAAACATTGTTAGACTGCAAAAAATATGAAGAAAATAGAATAGAATTAAACGCACAAATGGATGAACAAAGTTTTACACTTGAGTGTTTATTGGGGAAAACATCTGGGAAAATACACCGGCTGTTAATTTTGCTTTTAAAAAACACTGGGCTATAAGCGCAAGAATTTAATAGGAGTTCCTCTATCTCTTTTTGATGCCGTTTTAATGCTCACACTCCAGTCTATAGTGGCAGTAATGCACCTTTGAGAACCGCCATTATATCCTGAAAGAAGAAGAAGACATTCTTTATGAAAACACCTAATTAAATATCTGAAAAATACAGGGTTAATGGAAAGGATATATGTTATTTTTTTTCTTCTTAAAATTATCTGTTCCACACTCCAGTCCGGTAGGTGGCGGTAATGCTCCTAAATGCTGGTTGCCAACCGCCAATCAAATCAAAACAAAGAAGAAGACATTGTTTGGTCGCGACTCGCTTGGCATAGACAGTAAAAGGGTCGCTTGGTCGCTTTTCTTTTCTGGGCGCTTCACTGATCTGCTGCTGCCATGGAGGGATCCGGGGACGAGTACATGAAATACCGCTCACCGCTGGTGTCGCGGTACGCCAGCAAAGAAATGGCCTATAACTTCAGCGACAGGAAGAAATTCACCACGTGGAGAAAACTGTGGATTTATCTCGCTAAGGCAGAGAAGGTCTGGATATTTCTCTTACGTGTATTTTTTACAGACTGTTAACTTGATTGATGATGATTTTGTTGTTATTGTGATCCTCTGAATGTGCGGTACTGTCTTGAGTTTTGACCTTGAGTCAGTGAGTGAGTGGGGGTCTCAAGTTGCCAACTCTTTTAGTCTAAAAATAGTTTGAAAGTTTGGACATGTGCTGTAATATTTAATTTTTTAAAAAGTGGACCAGGCTGACAAACTTGCCTATACAAAGAAGTAATTTGGTGAAAGTAATTTTTGTATGCACTATGCAGTATATAAAACTTATACCACTGTTTTTTATAACTGTCATGTCTAGCTCCTTATATGTCAGGTTAAAGGTCACTGAATCTCTCAAAACATAAGCTCACTGCAACTCAGCAGTTTAGATGATAGTGTAGGAACCAGCATTAGAAGAGGACTCTCAAATTCAGATAACAGATATTCAGTCTGCTGAGCTTAACAATAGTTGATATGATAAGAAATCTAATTATTGACTGTTGACTGGTGGACTTTGCTGTGTTAGGTGACATGGGAAGGCTTGCATATTGATTTTTTGTTTGAAGTGTGTATAGAAATCAAGAACCAAGATTTTACAGTCAGCCACCCGGTTACCCATATCTCTCCAATTAAATGCCGCAGTCTGTTCAATTAGCACTGGTCACATGGTGGTCATTCTCTGACCCGATGATGAGACAGACGGGTTTCTGTTCTCTGGAAGTAAAGTCACGTTGCAGAACTTTACTAATATAGTCCTTGGGACGCACAGTACTAGACGAACCCCTGGGAAAGATTGTACGAGTGTGTGCTTCCAAAATAACTAATGTAAATGCCAGCGTAACAGGAGAGTGGCTTATGACTTATGAGTGACTCTCTTGTGTATTGCTAATGATGAAAGAAGTTACGCACAGCAAAAGATATGAGGATGCAACAATATTGCATTTCTGGCCGATGTAATTAGCAAATAATTTATACTTTATATTCAGCATAATTTTATAATAATAAATCAACTAAAGCATCTGACAACATTTAAAATGAGCCATATGAAAATGGATAGTCATTGTGAGATTTGCAAAAAATATGATAAATAATAAAGATAATAGAAATGGGAATGCAATGCAATGCATTAATAATTAATATTAATAAATTATAATATAATTTAACAAAATCTCTGAAATTTGCTGGTAACCAATATGTTATTTGGTATATTGTGCTGCTTTGACATTGTAAGCACAATAAGCTTTATTGTGAATGGAGCTGTTCAGGTTGTTGTCCTCCAACACAGAATAAAAAAAAAAAAAGTTCAAGCCCTGTAAAAGTTCTAATCGGTTTTGTGACTTTCATGATGCTTGTTTTGTCTACAACATAAATTACAGTCATACCTCAAATGTAAGCTACTAACAAGCTTCTACATATTGCAACTTGGTGCTTGAATTACAATGGTAATGTTTAATGCATGAAAATGCGATCTATTTTTAATACATTTCTTTATCGCTCTAATATTCTGTCTGCAGGCGTTGGGTCTCCCCATAACCGATGCCCAGGTGAGCGAGATGGAGTCTCACGCGGACGACATTGATTTCGTCATGGCTGCAGAGGAAGAGAGGAAGTTGAGGCATGATGTCATGGCTCATGTGCACACATTCGCTCATTGCTGCCCCACTGCTGCTCCCATCATCCACTTGGGAGCCACTTCCTGTTATGTGGGAGACAACACGGTGAGCCAAAAATATTCACACCACTATCTGTTCCTAATTGGACTCAGTGGAAGAGAAAGTATGTTCTAAAGTCAGTATATTATTTTAAAATGGTCTTATTGAAATGTGTGTATGCTTTATCTGTAGGATCTGATAATGCTGCGCGATGGATTTGATATTCTGCTACCCAAGGTTTGACTTTCTGATATTTTCCAGCGTATGACAACTGATGCTTATTAAGGTTCTTAGTTCCATTTAAATATAAAATTAAGAAATCAATTATCAATGTACTGTATTAAATTATTTTGACATTAATATTGTAAAATGGTCTAATTAATTTAAGAAATGTAGTTAAGTGTAACATTACATAATAAATGACTTGTCAAATTGGAAAATAAATGTATATTTAAAACAGTTTATAGTTTGAATGTGAAAAAAAAATTGCTTTGACCACAAATTTGGCACACCTATTCCTCCATAATTTCCATCCACTGCAGTAAAGTGCTTATTGTTTTCAAACATTCTCTCTTCTATAGTTGGCTCGTGTTATAGACAGGCTGGCTAACTTTGCAGAGAAATACGCCGACCAGCCGACTTTAGGCTTCACCCACTATCAGTGAGTAAATTCAGGGTTCAGTGCATGTATTAAACCTCTAAAATAAGAATTTAGATGTTAGAGCATGTTTAAAGTGTGCATGTAAACTTAATTGTTTCTACCGTTTTCTTTTCTTCCTCCCCATCGTCTATGCATTTATGATCTGTCCATCGAATCTTTGACATCTATTCAGCATTCACTCGTTTTGTAACCCATACAGCATTATTCATTTTCTTCAAATCTCTTATTTTTCATATTCCTTCCTTTCATCCTTTCAGTTTCTTCATTTAATACAACAATACTAGGCTGGTTTTGGGTTTATTTCCCCTCTCCTCGTCCCCATCTTTTTCTCAGACCAGCTCAGCTGACTACTGTCGGGAAGCGTGCGTGTCTGTGGCTGCAGGATCTGGTCATGGACATGCGTAATCTTCAGCGTGCAAGAGAGGACCTGCGCTTCCGGGGCGTCAAAGGAACCACAGGCACTCAGGCCAGCTTCCTGCAGCTCTTCCAGGGGGATCATGAGAAGGTGAATGCAGCTGCATGAAAATCAACAGCTCAACAGATTTGTATACCTCAATGCTTACTTTATACCTAGTAGTGTGGACTTAGTCACCAGCATACATACTATACACACTACCTTTCAAAAGTTTGTAGTCAGTACGATTTTTATAATTATTATCATTTTTTTTTTAATAAATTAATACTAAGGATACATAAGGATCCATGAAATTAATTAAAAGTGACAGTAAAGACTTAAATAAAAAAATAAATAAATGTTATTTTAACTCATGAATAAAATGTAGGGAGGTTTTCACAAAAAAAATTAAGTACTATTTAAGAGTGAAGCTGTTTTCAACATTAACATAGAAAAGAGTTTTTTGTAAATTGCAATAATATTTCCTAATGACTTTTTTTCACTGTATTTGTAACAAAAACTTGCAACTTTTCATAAATACGTAAAAAATCTTACTGACCTTACATTTGACCCAAAAATGTACATTTTTGTGCTTTATCAGTGTTGCAATGAATACATTTAGGGTACGTTTACACGACAAAGATGTACTAAAGACGGAAAGGTTTTTCTTTGCGCTTTTCGCATACAGATGACAACGTTGTCAAAACGCTCCCTGTTCACACAGGTCCGCGAAAAGAACTGAAACGCTCTATTACTTATGCCAGGCCAGTTGTTGGCAAAGTCACTTTATAAAGAAACACTAAGCACCCAAAGACTGAACATGTAATACGCATGCATATGACAATAGCATTTTCACAAATTCACATTTTTGTAGTTTATTTGGAGACGGTAAAGGTATCGTTTTCAAAAACGTGTAAATGTGATATTATCAAATCGGATGGGTGTATCGTCCCATCTCTAGTATGTTCTATGGTTGAACTGACATTTGACTTTTCTCTCTTAGGTGGAGGAGTTGGATAGGAAGGTTACTGAGATGGCTGGATTTAAAAAGTATGTTCAGGCTATTTAATTCCTGCTTTCGTTGTTTTATAAATGCTTCAAATTGCTTAACTTGTATGCTAGAGACTTACAGTTGGCATGTTTTTGTGTGCACATGGTTATTGAGTTCTCTATTTCTCTAGATCATACTTGGTGACGGGTCAGACGTACAGTCGTAAGGTGGATGTCGACTCGCTCTGTGTGCTGGCCAGTCTCGGAGCCTCAGTACACAAGGTCAGACATGAATATCAGATCAGCTTTATGAACTTATAAATGAGCTGCCATACCAATCCACACTAGTCAGCCCACAAAAGCAACAGACAATATTTGTTTGATTAAAACAACCTGTTTTTGCTGTAGATTTGCACTGATATTCGTCTGTTGGCTAATCTGAAAGAGATCGAGGAGCCCTTTGAGAAAGAGCAGATTGGTGAGTTTGTATGTGAGACAGGATTTTGATCACATTTTAAATCAGCTTCTGATCTGTCATGGTTTCCTTTGTTTGTAGGTTCCAGTGCCATGCCGTATAAGAGAAACCCCATGCGTGCTGAGCGCTGCTGTAGTCTTGCTCGCCACCTGATGGCGCTTGTGTCAGATCCTCTGCAGACCGCATCAGTGCAGTGGCTGGAAAGAACCCTGGACGACAGCGCTAACAGGCACTGTTATGACATCTGTTGTCTGACCATATGATGTGGCATTGCACCGTCTTGGCTTTGTAAAAATGAAACTTTAGGCTCTTTCTTTCACCAACAACTTGTCTCAATATTTTATTTTATGCTTATTTAGGAGGATCTCATTGCCCGAGTCCTTCCTCACAGCTGACATCATCCTCAGCACTCTGCAGAACATCACTGAGGGGCTGGTGGTGTATCCTAAGGTGTGTGTGTGCAACTCTCAATGCATTTTGACTTCTGGGTCGTCTCTTTTCAACACCCATTTTTTAAAAGTTTTCATCAGGGCTGGCAATTATCAGTATCAAGTTTTATCACAAAACTAAATGAGACGCTAATTACTTAGAGCAAATAATTGCATATACACTACTGTGCAAAAAGACATTTTTCTTTTGTTTTTCAAAGTAGTTCTTTATGTTCACTAAAGCAAATCTAAAATATAGTTACATTCTGAAATATTTTTACAATTTAAAATAACTTTTAATATTTAAAAATGTAATTTATTCCTGTGATGCCAAATCTGTATTTTAGAATCATTACTCCTGTCTTCTTCAGTCACATGATCTTTCAGAAATCATTGTTATATGCAGGTTTTCTGCTCAAGAAACATTCTATCAATGCATTTATTAATGATATTTAAACCATATAACAATATTTGATGAGTAAAGCCCCAAATGAAGATAATTAAAAACCTTTACATTAGACAGTCTATTATAGATAATGATCACATTAAATCAACAGCTGTACTGTTTAAAGAGGTCATGAATTGTGAGATAAAATATTCTTGATCTTTTGATTTATAAGAGGTCATTGTACTATAAAAAACATCCTGTTTCAAAATCCAAAGCCTCCTTGTTAGTCCAAAAACAGATTTTATTAAAACCAAGCTGCCCACTACTGTACCTCACAAATGCATAAGGAATAAAAATTTAAAAAAGGGGATTAATTGGCAAGCTGTCTTTGAGGTGTAGACTCTGGCAAAGCTGAGCATGTTTGGCTGAATTTTACTTGTTGCCATTTTTCAATATCGGAAGTTTTCAAAACCGTTGCACGCATGTTATGATGGGGACATTGAAAAAAATATTTTAATATGTAAAATTTAATATACAAAAATGTTAATCAATAATAGTGGGTGTTTACTTCCAAGTCTTGAATGTGGCACCATATTTCAAAGAGAGGGTCAAAAACAGGAAAGAAAATAGCCTATTACTTCTAAATTATGATGTTTTTTTTAAAATCTAAAAATCTTGATGAGGGGATCTCAGAGATGATTATACATAAAAAAAACAATAAAAAAAACAATGCAGTTCATAACCCCTTTAATCATTTTCTCTTTTATAGGTGATCGAGAGGCATATCCGTCATGAGCTGCCCTTCATGGCTACTGAAAACATCATCATGGCCATGGTGAAGGCCGGAGGAAACAGACAGGTCAGAACAATCATCAGTAAATGAATAAGAAAATTCTTGTCTTGTAAATAAATTTGCTTTGGCAAATCTACCCCAACCTATTTTGAATAAATGACTTGCTGTAAATATTGTTTCTGTGTACACAGCAGATGTGTATAGTGTCAGAGTAAGAGTATCTTTATTTGTCTCCCACCGGAGAAATTAGTCTTTGGATCAAGAGAGATTGCTGCATGAAGATTACGACAAGACAAAAACACAGTGTCAAAAAACATAGTTATGCTAGTGCCTAGCATAACTAACATGCCTGAACTGAAAACACACCCAGGACTGCCATGAGAAGATCCGTGTGCTGTCCCAGCAAGCTGCGGCCGTGGTAAAACAGGAAGGGGGAGATAATGACCTACTGGCTCGGGTTCAGGCTGATCCATATTTCACCCCCATACTCGGACAGCTGGACAGCGTTCTGGATCCCAAAACCTTCATCGGCCGAGCCCCAGAACAGGTACACGCATGAAGCCTAGACACACCTGTTCATCTACTGCTGTCCTATTAATATTTATTATAATGCTTTAATCATGCTGTAAAACCCTTTCAATCGCTCCCTCTCTTTCTCAGGTTACAAGATTTTTGTCTGAGGAGGTCAGAACTGTTCTAGAGCCATACAAAAGTAAAATGGACGTGAAGATTGAACTAGAACTTTAAGACACACACATGCGATCCTGTTACTGATGCATCAGAACTGTATGACAATGAATAAATGCCAAACTGTTTAACTTTTTGTGTGCTCTTTTATGTGAGATTCTGACATTTAGTTCTCAAACTCCAGTGTAGGGTCGGTTGTACCAGCCATTCGTACGTTCTTTCTTAAAGTGGAACGTTAAGTCCACTCTAGAGGCTTAGTAACTACTATCTAGTTTGTAACTAACTCTGCACTTGACTCGGTCGCACCATTTGTTCTTAAGGCAGAACGTAACTAGTTGGTTGTAAGCTCTCCGTAAAGTAATATGACGTTTACTCTCAATATTCTAATAGCAGCATTTAAATATGTGAGCAGTAGTTGTTTAAATGCCATGAATTTCAGTTTATTCTTCATTTTTTTCCACTTTTGCCTCGCGTAACTAATGGTAAAATAAGTTTAGAAATTCATTAAGTGTGATGTACTTAATCGTGAATAACATAATGTGTGTTTTATATAAATAACATTCAGAAACTTTATACTGATACAAAAAAAAAAAAAAAACATTAGAAATGACTTATTGATTATGACTGATTTTATTTGACATGCACAACAGGGAGCGATGGGACCGTGCACACAGTGGCTCGATGTTTAGGAAAGGGTATGTGTTTAAGAGCCACTAACTAAGTAGCCTAATCTTTTCACATAATGTTCTCTCTTTTAAAATGTAAGTGTGACAAGTGTAAGTGTCAGCATTGTCATATGTCTAAAGACTTAAAGTCTGTCGGGTAAAACAAGCTTATTGATGCAGTTCAGTCCTTATGCTATTTTATTCCATAAATATTTATACATAGTTATGCTTCAACTAACCTTTGCATTTATATTGTGATGAGTGAAATATCAGGGGTTTCATTTTCCCAAATAGTTTAAATGAGTTGTGAATGGGAACATTGAGTTTTTTTGATCAAAATAACAGCTTTCATGGTATTACCAAGTATAATTTTTTTTTTATTGGTGTATATATTAAATAAACAATATATCAATATATCAGGAAATATAGACTGTAAAATTTAAATGAAAATAAAACAATTGTAAAATTATGGTTTCACTTTAGATTGGGGTCCAAGTTCAACTATTGACTATGACTTTTGAGTTTCAAGTTAAGGTATTGATAGGATTAGGGATGTAGAATATGGTCATGCAGAAAAAGGCATTAATATGTGCTTTATACTTACTAATAAACAGCCAATATTCTAGTGATATGCATGCTAATAAGCAGCTAGTTAATAGTGAGAATTGGACACTAAATAATAAGTATTGGAAAAAAGTTTAGGTTTACGAACTACTAGTTAATCATATACACGTGGTGTTAAGTAGTAATGAAACTATTTAGATGTTTAAAGGTTTCCTTTAACAATTACTTAACTGGCTGTATAATAAAACTAATGAGGGAGAACACCAACAGATTATTCACTTGTGTGTAAGTGATGCTGTGTCTCTTGCTATTATAACCGTTGGTGTAACAACATATACAGCACAAACACACTTTGCTCTGTCTTGTACCAGTTTAAGCACGCACACCTCTTAAATGACTGGCAATAGTCGTGCAGCTATAAATCAATTATCCTTGTGCAAAGTCCATAGTTACAGGGTTTGAAACGTTTACATTTACTATAACGTCAGCTTGAACCAGTCTGGCGTTTCTCCTCTTATTCCACAGATTAGCAGGGATTCATTTGCCTGTGGATACTCAGTCAAATCATCCCATGGTAAGAATCACTTCTTATGTCATATTTTGTTCTCATTTTGTAGTTTGGTTTAAACACTTGGCCGTTTGCATACAGGAAGTGGCTGTCTCTTGATTGGCTGATTACTTGATGAATAAAACAAATACTGACCCCAAATTTTATAATGGTAGTGTATGTGTACAAAGGCTTCTTTTATAAAATGTTCAACTTCTTTTGCTGACTTCAATGCCTGCTCTTTTCTTGTAGTTAAGATTTCTCACATTTTATCTTAAATTGAAGATGTTGTCAACAGGTTTTCAAATGAATTCTAGGCAAGTTGTGGTTGTGTTGTCTTTTCTGTTGTCAAAAATAGTTAAATGGATCTGACATACAGTAGGGGTTGTGTGTTTGACATCTCAATGGATGTTACTGGTATAAGAAATCATTTCTATTTTTTTGTCTGAGTCTAATGCTTTGCATTTGTACTCTGAATTCAGATTATTCTAAAAATCGCCACAACAACAGTTTTACAGGATTTTAACCTGTTAACTGTCACCCCCCCCCCCTTTTTTTGAATAGACATGAAAATGCACATTTCGAACTTAAATGGTTGTAATTTAAGAATGCTTTGGAATATAGACATATGATTGGTCTTGTTTTAAAGAAGACATTTGGCAGATTTTTGTAGAAGTGAAATAAATTAAGAAAGTGAAACAGAAAAAAAGTTATAGAAGTTTGAGTTTATGGAAATGTACAATGTAAAAATATTAATTATTCATATTTTACATAAAATATATATTTTCAAAACCTGGGCTACTCTAAAATGGCAGAAAGATCAAAGCCAAAAATCTGAACAAGTTGTGTTTCAAATTTTAGATTGATATCTCAAAAAATGAGCTTTCAGTGAGATTTTGTTTGAGCGCAGTACCAAACTTTTTCACTAGGGCACAATTAGACTCCATTACTGCCCATATAAGGGCGCCTGCATTTCCATTCATGTTTTGAGTGATATGAACCATTATTTTCACAATTTTCACACAATTTCTGAAGTAGAGATCCTATTCAGAAGTAGCATGGGAAGTTTGGCAGATTTTGATATGAATTGAACCTCTAAGAAACGCATACAAAGAACACGCATGTAAGTCATAGCTAGCTGACACGTCACAAATGGTGAATTTATTATTTTTTTCTTGATATTTCAAACTTTTCAGACCTTTTTTTCCAAAATAATTGAATGGATTCTATCTTTTGAACTTTTGGCATGAAAACAAACTGAGGTATCTACCATTTTTTCATGATTTTTCATGTTTACTGCTATTTTAAAATAAAGGTCTGAACACGCCTTATGAGCATCAAAATATTCTTGTTTTATATTGATAAATTATGGCTCCTCTGTAATATATTTTGAAAATCAGTCACCAAATATGGAAACTAGAGATTGTAAGCTTTCAAATGATATATAGTTTGTCAATATTATTTAAGGTATTTACTAAGATATTATTGTTTTAAAAATATAGTGGCAAACGTCCCACCTGTGGGACGGTGACAGTTAAGTTTAAACATCTGACGTTATAGTGGTTGGGAACAATTTCCACAAAAGCAAAGACGAAACCCTGAGAGCAAAGCTTTAAAGGGGAATGTCATTGTACTCTGCTGGCCTGAGAAAACATGAGAAATAGACTGTAAAATTAATTCCCACTGAAGCTGTAAACTATTGTCTCAAAATATGCATACCAGACTTTGCCATTTAAAGAAAAACTGGCAGATGTACAGCTTGTAAAAAAGTGCTGAAAGAGAATTTGGTTGTGAGGTTTTAACAGTCAGTAAAGACAATTTTCATTTCTTTATATGGTTGTTCAGAATAAAATACCTGTTGAGCTTCAACACTACTGTAACCAGGACTGGTGTGTGGAGTAAAACGTGAATCTCCGTTAAACTCTCTGCTACTGTGATAACTTATACTGCTGGGGTTGTAAAAATCAAAGCAGATATTTGCTAAATCTGTTTATCTAGAGCTGCTTTCTGATTCATAGATTCCCTTTGCAGGCTTTTGTTATTCAAAATACATGATGTACTATATTGTTTCACATGTTTAATGATTATATTTGTATTCATTTAAAAATGTATGAAATATTTATTAATATAACATGCGATGTTTAACATAAAAATATATGTGTCTTGATAATGCCGTTGTAACAGTCACATCTTTATTTCCTCAAACAACAATACCTGAGGTGAATTAACCTGAATACAAACGCTAGGCACTTGATTCTTTTGAACTGCATTTAGTTCAGTTTAGTGCAGTACCAAGGTTGCGCAAAATCACGATTGATTGCTAAATTTCCATGTGCACTTGCTTCCTGTGATGTGATATTGTATGCTTACACTTCTCAATGCCGTTGTTCTTGTTGCATTTTAAACTGGGTGGTTCGGAATTTTGGACATCGGGCCTCATTTCCAAGTGAGCCTTAGTGTTATTTATCAGTGGAGACAGTTTTAAAATTCCATCCAATTGTCCCAGTTGCATAGTTCGCCGGTGCTAGGCTAGCGCGAGTCAACAGTAACTTTTAGCCATTAAAAACAGTTTTTCCACAGTACACCGAAAGCAAATCAATTATAACGCCAGACTATCAATGTAAGTGTCTGTTGAGAGAATAATGTTAGAAATCAAACTAACTTACCCTTTTATTTTATAGAGACTGCTGCGCTTGACTGGACGAGCAGAGTAGAAAGAGAGAAAGCACGCGTGCACTTTCACGTCTTCTCACAACACGTGTCAACTCTCGGTTGCCTAGGTAACTTATCGCTCCGCCGCTGCTGTAACGTTAGACTGCGAATATAAATATAGGTAAAACATTATTTATAACTATTGTAATGCAATAAAAGGGAGTTTGATTCCAAACATTATTCTCTCAACAGACACTTACATCGATAGTCTGGCGTTATAATTGATTTGCTTTTGGTGTACTGTGTGGAGTGGGTAAAACTGTCTTTAATTGCATGTTAAAAGTTACCGTTGACTCGCAGTAGCCTAGCACCAGCGACTATGCAACTGGGACGACTTGATGAATTTTTTTCAAAACTGTCTCCACTGATAAATAACACTTAGGTTCACTTGGAAATAAGGCCCGATGTCCAAAATTCCGAACCACCCCTTTCACCCCTTTAAGATGGTCGAATATATTCTGTAAAGGATTCGTAGAGAACAGTTCGGTTATTGGAATGTTTGTTTGATCACACAGTGATGAAGGGACTTTATACATGCTAATAAATGTGATCTCATAATAGGTAAAGAGACACATGATCTATCTACAGGTGATCTGATTGGTCCGTCATGTGGGCGTGGGCGTTACTTCCTGTCATTCTGGCAGTGTTTGGAACAATTGGGCTTTGGGTTGTGTGAGTTTCTTTCAGTTTCACTCACTCTTTACAAAATCATCTTTGTGTTGTTGTTGTTTTTTACTCTTTCTGTTCCTGTTTGTGTGCAGGTATGCCATTGCAGTGTCCAATAACACTGTTAATATAACTGCAGAATTCCCTTACATCAGGTTTGTAATCTGAGTTCAGACATCAGAGTTTCTTGAGTAGATGTACTTGACAAAGATTAAGTATTATTTTTTTAGGAATTTGTACTTTAGTTGAGTATTGAAACTGAATACTTGGTACTCTTACATGATTACATTTACAAAGCACAACATATACCTTCTGCTTATTGCAATCTCATTTAGACCTCCAAGTACAAAGTGCTAAGTCATCATGACTTAAATCTTTCATCACTATGTTCAATTTACTGATCTTCCAATACAATCTGGTGTAAAAACAGTTTTCTGGGTGTTAATTGTAGTATTGTTGATTCTCGTGAATCATTTCTGAGTTTGCAAAAGTCATTCCTGATTCTAATCGATATGCTGTCTACCCAAAGATTCACACCCTTACATACTACACTGCCCAACAGAGCACAGCATACAAGATGATACTAGCTAAGATTCCTTGATTAAAAGAAAAAAATAATATATGAATATTGTTTCCTTCAGCACATGTGGTTCATACTTCCCCCAGAGCTGCCTGTTTTCTCAGATCTGCAATATTTGCTGTGTGTTGGGTGAGTCTGTCATCATCTCCTTTTGAAAAAAAGGCCTTCTGTACTGTACCTTCTGTGTGACATCTTTTTCTTTCTTTACTGTAGCTCTATGGATTGTCACTATCAGATTTCAACAGATCCGGGACTTGAGTTGTGCGTCTCGTTTAAATACAGCCGGTCTGGTGCTTGGCTTCATCTCTAGCATTGGCATTTCCATTCTAGGAAACTTCCAGGTACACTGGACTGGACTCCATCGCAGCTTTCATTGATTATATTTGACTGACATGTAACGCAACCAATCACAGTTCGTTTTGTTCTGCGTCATGTTTAGGGGTGTGAAAAGGAACAGTTTATGTGTGTGTGAAGAACGACTGGACGTTACTTGATTACTTGAAAATTGTGCTTATTTGTGTTTGCTCTTGCATTAAAAGCCTGATTTACTCCAAGCAAAATTGAAGAACAGACTGGTGTCATTTCGCCTTTGTCTCTGTCCCAAATGGCACACTTCATATGCTCTTACGGTCTTGTTGACCTACAATGGCTGCGGCGTGCACGTGTCTGTTAAGTCCATGAGACCGTACGGGTGTCCCATTTGTAATTTTAGGTGTCATAAGGGTGCTCGAGCAGTGGTTTATTCGTGCCCTCGATGCGCACTTTTGCCAAATGGGGTGATGATAGCACGGTGGATAAGACACATGCCTTTGGTGTGAGAGACCCGGGTTTGAATCCACTGTGAGACACCAATGTGTCCCTGAGCAAGACACTTAACCCCTAGTTGCTCCAGAGGCGTGCAACCTCTGACATATATAGCAATTGTACGTCAGCTAAATTAATAAATGTAAATGTAAATACCGCACTGGTGCGAGCACGGCAGCAGACTTCTTCCCAACAGTCAAAGTGGTGTTGCGTCATGAAAGTGCAGACTCGTAGGATGACCGCGAATGCTTTTTTGGGACAGGGCCCTTCAGACTGTACTCCATCACAGCTTTCATTGAGGATATTTGACTGACATGTAACGCAACCAATCACAGTTCGTTTTGTTCTGCGTCATGTTTAGGGGTGTGAAAATGTAAAGTTGATGTCCCTACGATAAAAGACCGGCTAAATTATTCATTCAAGAACGTGCAAATTTAATGCAACAATGGAGCCTTGAACTTCACATACTTTTGAAAATCCAGTGTTTTGTTGATCCCGGTAATTGCTCATTGTCACAGTTGTAAACATGACAGCTTTCTTCTTCCATGAGTCGGTTTGGCGTCACGACGGCTTTGTTTCCAGGCAGACCGTTAAAGAATGTGACGCACACGTTTCCTTGACATCCTGTAGAATTTAGATTACAACTTCAAAACTCCTGAAGTGATTTCAATACTGACCAAAATAATCCTGATTTATGATTTTTTTTTTTCCATAATCGAGCAGCCCCCGCCAATTGTCCATGGGCGTGACTACAGTATCTACAGTATTCAGTATTTACATATTTATCTAAATGTTCTGCAAACAGTATACCAGTGAAAAGGTGTTTTGAACTTCTTTTTACCACTAAACATGGAATGAAAAAGATTATGATATGAGGGTCTTTATTTGCTATACAGGAATGATTATGTCCATGTGTGTCCATTTAGCAATCTGTAGTGAAGGTGGTTCATCTGCTTGGGGCGCTCCTGGCCTTCTTCCTGGGGTTGGCTTACTTCTGGGTCCAGACGTGGCTTTCATACAACAGCCCGCCGTCACATGACCGCTGGTGGGTGGTGCCTGTGCGTGTCATCCTTTGCAGCCTGTGTACTAGTCTTGTCATCTGCAGTATCCTTCAGATCTTACAGAAAATAAAAATAATAACTGAAATGATTTCTGAAATGAGTGCATTTTCATTACATTTGATCATGTGTTCATTTTGTTGTCCTTAACCCTGTGTCTTCTCAGTGTTTGCTCTCCATAGCGCAGAGTTTCCCTCTGAAGCGGCCATGTGTGAGTGGGCTCTGGTCATGTGCTTCTTTGCGCTGTTTGGGATTTTTGCAGCAGAGTTCAGACACATTGACTTTCACAAGCTCACCGTACAGAAGAACGGGATGAAAACCGCCAGTGATGCTAATGGTGTGTGGACATTACAGGAGATTCACTGAGGTAGAGCTGGCAAGTTGTGGCTGTGGTAATGTGGAACAAACTCACCATATCATATGGACACAACATTGGACTAAAACCTGCTCAACTTTGCTCAATGCACAAATAAACACATAATATAAAACACACATTTTACAGTAGAAATGTTTCATGAGTGAATTCATGAGCAACATTGTTTACATGATATGTATATACCTTAAAATTATTATTGTGTATAATGTGAAAGGATGGTATCAATGTAATATTATTCCACTTGTTAATGTTGTGGCAGTACAACCAAACTGTATTTATATTCAATAACAGCTTTCTTTGATAATGGTCAGATACAATTAAATATTAATAACAGAATATATTTAATAACATTATGCAAATAAAGTCATAAAGGCTACAATAAAGACCAAAGAGATCTGTTTTGAGGTATTACCAATTTGACAATTTAACCATTGCTGAGTTAGTCTACAAAGTGAACATTTAAAGCAAACAAATATGATGGTATTGTACTCTTTAACTGTTCAGTAATTCACTTGTTGTAGTACTAGTATAAAGTCGGCATAAACGGAAGTTGCGATAGATTTTTCCATATAGTAACGGATGTCCAAGTGAAACAGCTTCTCGATGTTGGGGAATTGGGAAGTGATTGGATAGTTGTGGTTTGCTATAGCATGTAACAGCCGGGTTCTTGAAGTAAAAAATATATTCCTTTTCTCCATAGGGGAATTGATTATTAGCCCTACTGTGAGCTCCGAGGTCGTTAATCGATTGTATTTGCTTCTGATGAAGCCTTCAGCCCATATTTTAGCCCCAGGTTTAAAATTGGAATTTATGGTGAAAAACTGCATTACCCATGATGATTCTGTATAGATAAATACAACCAATCAGAGAGTCCAAGCAAGAAGCAAAACATGGCAAGAGATGTCTTTAGCTCCGCCCACTACCATACAGCACAGCAAATAATGTAAACGAGTCTTCCTATGCTCTCAATATATATATAATCAACATTTTTTTTCTTTCATTTTTAATTTGATTATACAATGCTCCATGGGATTGCAGTTCTGTCCCTCACTAAATCAGTTAAGTACAAAAGTACTCCAAAGGTACTTTTTTTTTGCTTCTAATTAAAGTTTTTAATGTCGAGATACACCTCGTTGGTTGGCATGGTTCATGGCTTATAACGCTTTAACAAAGACTTGGAACCAATGCCACTGAAAAAGTTGGTGGACGCTGTTGCACTGTGATGTCATGTGACTGACAGGTTGTCCCGCACTTACACCAGAAAGCACTTATTCAGAGAAGAGAAGGGAAGATGTATATATATATATATATATATATATATATATATATATATATGATCTGATGGGTAAATCATTTATAATAGATAAAATGATTTAAAAAACGATAAAATGATTTAAAAAAACAAAACAAAATTGTGAATGTTGATTTTTGTCATGTTGACTTTTTTTCTTTAAAGTCTATGCTTAAAAAGTAATGAAGGAGCATGTACACAAAGTCGACACCAGAGAGTGCTCTAGGCCTGATGTTGGTTGTCTCACATTTGTCTTTCTTGTTTGCATGTGTTCAGCTCACAGTTTTAGAATGCTACCTCCAAATAGTGTTATTTTATTATACTTTATTATAATTATATTTATTATAATTTAGGTTTATTGTGAAAATGAGAAATACTTCATGACATCTCACTCATATGGTAGATCAATTGAACGGCACAATCTGGGCTGTTGTAAAACCCACTAAGTTAACTCAACTCAAAGGAAACTGATTTCTTTAAACCATATAAGTTTAAAAACAACTTCATGAGTATTCTGAACTTATATATATTGAGTCATATTCACTCATAATTTAGTGTTGGTTTAGTCAATCATTTTGAGTAGATGTAACGTGAATATTTTAAGTTCATTCCATTAATTTTAACGAACTGATTTGAGTTTATTTAATACATCTAAACAAGTCTAAACAACTTTATAGCTGTGGTTTGAGGGAACCGATTGCCGTAAATGATTTAAGTTGATTAAACTCAAATTAATAAATTTATATAAGACAAGGGAAAAACATTGCTTTAAAACAATGATGAAAGAAAAGGATACAATTATTAACAGTATTTATTGGAAAATCATTTATTTTACAAAAGGTTCTCAGGCATGAATATAAAAGATGGTCAGTCAGTATCCTTACTGTCAAATATACAAAATTGCACAGGACATGTCTGTTTGCCAAAGTGTGAAAAAACAATTGTATTAATCTTCCACTGACCAAACTGGTTTACGCACAGCATAAATGCTAGAATAGAGTTTATGCCTGTGACGTCACCATCGGCCGGAGTGACTGAGGTTACTCCCACTAAGTGACAAAAAGACTGAGTGGCAGCATTAGTTTTCAGCCTAAATGCCGTGAAATACAAAAGCACACATTTAAAATGGGAAAGAGCTTTGAGATTGATCTAAGATTGATTGAGAGATTGGGAAAGAGCTTTGAGATTGATCTAAGATTGATTGAGAGATTGGGAAAGAGCTTTGAGATTGATCTAAGATTGATTAAGATTGAGATTGATTGATCTACTGTGTTTCCCATCTGAAAATCATGTACAAATCTGTTGTGCCCAAATTCACATGCTCATTTCATTGGCTTAAGTGTAAGCCAATGAAATAAATATTTGAATTTATTGGACACAACCGATTTGTAAATGATTTTCGGATGGGAAACACTGTAGAGGGCAGTCTGTTCGTCTCATGATGACATTCTTTCACATACACATTGCTCTCAATGGGTGGGGAAAACACACAGAGAACAAAAAAGGAGAGAGGGACACAAGGGGGCAAGTGAAGGGAACTTAAAGGCATGTTGAAAAGTCCTGGGAATCAGTTATTTCTTTCTCTTTTCTATTTCAATATCCTTTCATGTTCAGTGTTTTTCTAAAATCTGAGCAATCTCCTTTGAATATCTTTGACGCATTTTTGGCGTAGGGTCAACTGAATAATGCTCTCATCTAAACACTGATGTACTCGCCGCAAAAGCTTTAATGTAAGATACAGTTGGAATGTAATTCAAAATAATGTGGGGTAGATCAAACTTTGAATTCACTGGTAGCTTGTGAAGTTTCTCAAGATAAAATCAATTAAAATTTGCAATGAAAAAACAAAACAAAACGAGGATGAGATATAAATAGTGGTTAAATATACTAACTAGACCATAAGAAGTTGCATTATTTATGGCATACTAATAATTCAAGTTTGGTGAACTTTGACCTGCCAATTTTTATATTGAAAAGATGGCCAATAATGGGTCTAAACATCACATTGATCAGTTCACTATATAATATTGCATTAATAATTATAAAAGATTCATCTGTGCACATCACTATTTTGTTTAATTCATGTGCTCTTGTAATCTTGAATGAAAATATTTTCCGCTCCCTCTTGCAGCTCATCTTTTCTCTTCTCTGGTGATGTGTTCACTGGCGCGAGAGCAGGGCAACCTGTCTAGCAAACCACAACCATTCAATCAATTTCGGAAAGACAAAATCAAGTCCCATCCATTTTTTTTTCTTGTTCGAGAAGTTTGTTTCGTGCAGCCCCGATGATTTATTTCTTAAAATGAAATGCAACACGCTCAAAAAAGCCTACTGTGATCGCACCTTTTCTTCCCTAACCAGACAGTGTCCCTGACTGCCATCCTTATCCACAATGAAATCTCTGTGACCTTTTAAGTGACTTGAACAGACATTTAATTCAGAGGCTAAGCCAAAGGGCTCTGGTGTTAGATATGGGGTAAGTGCCGTGTTTGGTTAAAGGGCATGAAGTCTGTCTGGCTCTTATGTAATGGCTCTGTGAGTCTGTATCAAGCGTGCATTTGTTCTATCTTTGTTTTAAAAGCACAGCAGGCCACAGCTCCACCGTGCCTTTCACCTCGGCCGTAATCTCTGTTCACGCCTGCGTTATTCCAGATTATTCTTATCCCTTACACAACTCCTGCTTTGCAACAATAGCACTACCTTACTATCTGCAAAGCAAACGGCTTGCCTGCCACCTCGTACACACACCGCTTATCAGCGAACAGCCAAATCCTGCCCTGAAAGAGAAAGCAAGAGTACAGAAGAAATCGAGTCGGTTCGACTAGTTTAAAATGTTCTAGCTATGAGGGCAAGAGCACAACAGAGGCATAAAATCTGATTTAGGCCTAAACATCTTAATCTCCTCGATCCATAATCTAACAGGTCTGGAATTCCCCCAGCTGTTAGGAGAGAGGGAGCGAGGGGGCAAAAGTCGTGCCGCTGTATCCAGCGAGTGGGCATCTCCAGTCATGATCTCATCCCGCAGCGCTGGCACTCTCAAGCGGAGAGCTGCCCTTTTCTTCAAAAATGCCAAGCGCACCACATTCCTACACACACTCTGAAAAGTCCCTAATCGCTGAGATGCACATTCAAATGGCCAGTTTGGCCTCTCTTATAGAACAATCAGACAAGACTTAATTATATAATTATATGCGATCCACCCGCACACAGACCGACACACATCGGGATGTTTGTGACTGTGCGCAAGATTTATTCAAGGATAGGAGAGTGCTAAAAGGATCTTTATCAGAGGATATTAAGCGTCTCTGTGTAATGTTATTCTATATACAGTATGTTACAATTTTGTATGCCAACCGAGAAGTTAGTATCATCCTGGTTCACACAACAAAAACCCAATTGGATTTTTCCATTGGCTTTTGGATTATTGCAGAAAATAAGCTCTGTCCACAACATTGATTCTTACATGTTTTATTAAGAATTTTCACAAATGAACAAAACTTGTAGCCTAAGCTCTAGTTTGCCAATAGACGAATCCGGCGAAACTACCGGAAGTAAGCGGGGCGCTATTACTGAGCTGTTGCTGGGTAGCGTTGCGCCATTGCCTTCTATTGTTTTAGTTGCAACTTGCGTCCACTGGAATAAACAGCCCGCGATTTACGACTGTCACTAACGTTACAACGTTATCCCTTGTATAATGTCGAGTGGGTAAACAGTTTCCGTTATAAATTGTTTCAATGGTGGCAGTAAAATTTCAATTTTGAAGAGAAAACATTGTGAATACCCCGGGTCGAGTGCCCCTGTCTGGTGCCGTACGGTTTACAGATTTCCTGGGCGAGTACAAGACGTGGACATTCGCGTATAATAACAATTATTTAATGACATAAGTAAAAAAATATATAATAAATATGTGATATAGTGATCAGCAAAATCTCCTCTCTTGCTATTTTTTCTATTCAATTAACATGCTATGGTCATTAAATGGCTTTCCTGAGCTAAATGTAACGTTATGTGACATAATTGTTCTCCCGCTGTTATATTGACCTCTTTCCATGGTTTAAAAACACTAATTGGTCGATATTATGTATACTTTCTAGCTGTAACGTTACCTTACCCTTACCTGTTGCAATGTGAAAATGAGATAAATAATGGACACAAATGAAAAACATGAATTTGTTTATTTGATTTCATTCATTTATTTATTTATTGTTGCCAAATGGACAGATCTTTTTATCGTTTCCTCGTTAGCAAACGTTAGCCTAGCTAGCTTGCCAAGCTATTTTCATAAATAACGTTAATCTGTAAGATCGTTTGTACCTTCATCTGTGACTGGAGGCCACTGCAGTCACAGATCAAACCAACAAGTCATTCTGCCTGGCTGTAGCTGTCATCGAGGGTGAGTTCGCGTTATCACCGAGGTTTGTTTACATACCGGTGCATATGTCTATATGCCTGTGTAACAGCTCAGTAATGGCGTCGCCACAAGATGGCAGCCTACACAGAACGCTCGTCGGATTCGTCTATAAAAGAACAACTTTTTAGATTTTTTACAATCTACAAGTTGGAAAGTTTTTGTTAGAATGCTATAGACAAGATTGGAAACCAACGCAAGCAAACTAGTGATTTGGTGAGTTTTTTTTGTTTTTGTTTGAAATGATGTTTACTGTCCCTGACAACCTAGTCCCATTTAGCCACTTGTTAGCAACCGATGCGTTAATGGTTTAAAAAACACAAGTGGGGTACAGCTGATGCAATTTATGTCATAT